GGCAGCGAACCGGCAGCAGTGGCGTTCTTGTTGTCGTTTCTTATCAGGTCGGAATGCTTGAAACGGTATGTATACAGAGTTCGATTGCGTACTGTGTGGCTCATCTCCCTCAAAATAGATCCAACCCTGGTCCACCTTGAGTTTTACCACTAACATTGTATGCATTGTGAGTTTGGCAGCGGTCAGTGAAGTTCGCTTCACTGTATTTCGCTGTACGATGATGATGCTGGTGAAGCTCCACTCGCTACCTTCCCGTGACAAGGATTTTCCAAACACTGGCACTGGCCTAAGGAAGCTGACTAAGAACTCTGATTCCAAACTAACCAAGAAGCATACAAACCACACCTCCGTTGTAACACTTGTCACTAACATTTAGGTGTATAGGGGCACCAGAAGTTTGGCCCAATTCAAACGGTATATGAGCCGACAAACTGGATCGCCCCCTTGCCTTGTATCGGGTTTTGACTATCCGTTCTGAATTCACTTGCTTTGGCCTGGACAGCCAGTATCGCACCCACAAGCAAATCATGGTACTTTTTCTTGTAAAGCTGATGATTGTACCGTGGTTTGTTGGGTACGATGTAGACTCAGATGTATGTGAAGAAAATGAATATATCTATAGTAGCCAGAGAACATCCTCGTTCCGAGTCCTACAGGGTAGCAGGATGCTGCTTCGTGTTATCGATCCATCAAGGGCGAAACCCTGTTCGTTGAATGATACACCATTGGGGCGTAATTAGATGCTCAAGGCGCTCAATCCTCACCTCGATGGCTGCTCTACCCGGTAACCAATATCATAACCAGGAAGGTGTGGGTAAGTTGTGCGACTCGGTTAGTTTGGAATCAGTTTTCCTTGGGCTTACTTGTTCACAAACTCACTCATGACCCCAGATGACATCTCATCTCGTTCAGGTGGAGGAATATCCTTGTGTACAGTCATCATCATCGTACAGCGAGATGCAGTGAAGCGAGCTCCACTGATCGCTGCCAGCAAGGTTTTGAGGCTGTTCGTCTTGTGAGAGCGTTCCGCGAGTTAAGATAGGAGTGACCTGCCATAAACCTGCTCCCTTAGCCCTGACTA